GGACGATCAAGTATGATAGCAGCTGAAACCAAGAGGACCTTTATATACCGTCGCTCTGAGTAAAGGGGCGGGTGCATAATTTACAACCAGTAGGCGGAGCCAACGACTAAGTTACCTGGTTACGCGAAGCCGGGCGTCGTGTTACCTGTGGATGTGCCTAGGGCGTATTTTAACCTCGGCGGCTACGAGGCTGTGTGTGTGTGTGGAGGATCTAGCTGAAGGAAGTGCTCAGCCTTAGCGCACTGATTTTTAAACAGATGCTGTGGATATATAATAGTCATGCTGTTGCACGAACTGCTTTTGAATGTACATATATATATAAATGTTGGATTTCTTATGATTAACTCTCAAGAAAGTTTGTGAAGAACCTATCGATGACGCTCAGTGTAGCACACACCTATGTTCACTTAAACTTATCTGTCACGTCAACAGCGACTCAACTGATTGCTTAATGCCCTATCAAAATGCTTCTAACAATGAATGCATAAACTGGAAAACGTTTAGGTTGATACATTTAAATTTTACTCATGTAAGTAATGTTATTACTTATTCATCCATATACAGACATAATTCGATCCTTTTTATCATAATTAAAAGGTAATTATTCCGTATCTAGTCATTTGAAATGTAAAGGAAAAATAATCATACGGATATTTTAACAGTTTTTGATGCGGTTGTAATTTAGACATTGATATATAATCATATGAATGTGTTCAGGACAAAAAATATATATATATTTATTTGACACACAAAGCCGAACGCAGTAATGAGAGAATACACACACATAGATTGGTAGATATATGTATGTATGTAGATACACATATATGAATATATGTATATAAACGTATATGTTTGAGTGTATGTCTACGTATGAATGCATATACATAAGGTAAGATACATTCTCGTTCGCAGAAGAAAACTGTTGCTTTTTAACAGAACATTGCTGGCTCTTAGGACATATGACGTTTATTTTATTGTTTTCGAAATTGATGCTTATTTCATAATCCATAATTCTAACCACTTGACATGAAACTGTTACTTTCAATATTATAAAGTAATCTTTGCGATCACTACCTCCTTTTTCATTCGTCCCAATCTCTCTCTAATCCCTTAAAAAACAGAAAAGTGTCGTAACATTAAACGTTACTAACTGCCAATGTGCATATTTCTATGGGTATAATTTAAATGTTTCTTTTTCTTTGATATTTCCCGCCAAGGTCAGAATGCAATGAAAATGTAAAGGTAATTTGTAGGTTTTTATTACATCAACTTTCATTTCACTTCCACACATACAATTTCCCTAGCAGTTTCATTCTCTTAGTTGAACACGATGCCTTCAGCGCGCTGACGCTCAGCGATTTCCAACAGCTCATAGACGTGGGCAGGAAGAGGGTGGGGAGTGGGCAAGATGTTGGACTGGGGCTGGAAGCCGTTCTCGTTGGCGACGAAGGTGACAACAGCCTGGGTTCCGTCCTCAAGGGTAAGGCTGTAAAGGTTATTTGATAAACTTTAGTAAAATGTTCCTTTCCGAATATCAAATAGAACCTAACTTCAACGTGAAATTTATCTAATTGTTATCCCGAATTCCTGCAAAAAATGATAGTACGTCCTTACGTGTAAGATCCAGCCTGATTGATCTGGCCGGCAGATCCAACAGCTCCTTCAACGGCAGTGTTGATGCCGTTGTCGGCTTCCAGGGCGTAGGAGAAGGTGCCGTCTTCGTTGGCAATTCGGTCATCGCGAAGAAGGACAACCTCCCTCTCCTGGAGCTGAGGGGCGGCAACAGCCACGGCGACGAGGCAAGCAAGTACGATCTGTGAAGAAAAAGAATTTTCCTTCATAACGGCTTCTAATTCCTTCTTAATGTCATACAAACCATGGTAACTCGTAATACTCTTGTATATACATATGTAGCATATGTGTGAATATACATCCATATATTCATAATACCTATAGTACATATATGGATACATGTATGACGAATAAGATGCTCTCTACTTACAGTCTTCATGTTGGATGGGTTCGGAGAGACCAATGGTAGCATCACAGGTCAAGACGACCTTTATATACCTCAGCTCTGAGGAAAGGGGCGGGACCATATTCAGCAACCCAAGGGCGGAGCCTCATCCGACCGGTTACGTAAGGAATAGCATCACACTGCCTAATGGTCACTTATTAGAGGAAGACAATTAATAGAGAAGACTTTAATTTCTTGGACACTAGTTCCACTCCATCAATTAAGCAATAAACTAGTTAGAGTTCCCTGTGAAAAGCTTTTACAGTAGATGGTAAATTACATTCATACTAAAAAGTTATGCGGAGTATAATAACATTGGTCCAGCATAGTACTCCAATGCTGCACTGATGCTGATGCATCAATATACTATATTCATTATCCTAGTCATAAACAGATAGGATAGGCTAGCAGATCAATGGTGGTAGATATGTTGCTCACAGTCATAGCCGTCGCAATAAGCATAGAGGCGCAAACAAAAGGCAGGTTAGTCAGCGGTACAGAACTATTTGAAATATGGTCGTCTTGACCTATGATTTAAAGAAATCATGGCATAATGTAACTATGAGAGTAAAGTTAAAAAGTATTCGGAATTAAAGGACAGAATTTAAACCTAGATTTAATGAAAAGTCAGACAACGGTTTTAAAGTCAACATGGATTTTATCATCAGGTCTAAGAGGATTTGTCTCACTTCAATGTATCTAGTTTGTGTTTTTTTCTACCTAGTATTTCTTTTAATTTCTCTTCGTCATTCATAACCTAGAATCTTCGGATGCATCGTTCTCTCATATTTGCTAACAGACATGAAATTGCTTTAAAATCTCTTTCCTATTTTTTATATATTTTTTTTTTATCGCTTTTCGTGAAATCTGCCACCTCCCTTCATACCATGGTCAAAGTAACAGTTTGGTTGACTTTCTCACAACATAATTAATTCAGTTATAATTGTACTCCATACATTAATCACCTTTATATAATAATAAAAATATAAAAAATAAAATCAGTGTACGGTCCTCTTGTGTAGCACGCGTGACTCTACGTGTATTGGATTTATAATATAATGATAAATATCCATAGTCAAACGTCATATTCAAATAAAAGACTATATAAATTTATCGCTAATAAAACTATTTTCACATATATTAAGTTTTTTCTTTAGATCCTTAAATTTAACTTTGATAAATGTAAATTGACGTCGAGATGAATTTCAAATTACGGTACATTAATAAAATATGTACCTCCTTGCAAATATTGGACAATGCTGCTGGTCTAGAAAATTAGACCACGCTGACAGATATCATTCCAACTTTTTCAGTAACATATTGGGTGAAGTTAGAGCCACCAATGATTTTAGCAGTATTAGATATTTGATTTGTTTGTAGTTATTAGGCACTGTGAAGACTTAATTTACATGTCTGTAAGGTAAATTATAGATCTAATGCTTGTAAATTATGGAAATATAGATGCTGAAATTACGTAATTCACATCAGTGAATATATTTATTTTTAATAACCAGTATATAATGAAGAAGCGACATTCTCCAGATAAAGAAAATAAGGAAAGTACACTTAAAGATTCTATGATTTCGGACAAAATGAAGAAATTTGATATAAGGTATCGTAAACTTTATTACATCGGCTTTCATTCCCCACCCATACATTTAATTTAATTTTCCCATTCTCTTAGTTGAATACGATGCCCGCGGCACGCTGACGCTCGGCGATTTCTAACAGTTCAAAGACGTGGGCAGGAAGAGGGTGGGGAGTGGGCAGGATGCTGGACTGGGGCTGGAAGCCGTTCTCGTTGGCGACGAAGGTGACCACAGCCTGGGTGCCGTCAGCAAGGGTATAGCTGTAAGGAAAAGAGAACAGACATTAATAATTACATCGGGGAATGTAGTTGCGTATGCATTTAAAAGAAAAAATAAATAAATAAAATAAAATAACTAAGGACTTTCAGGCTGTTTTCAGAAGCCATCGTGTATATTTAATATGTTTGAGGTAATGCATTTCTCCAGATTGCCGGCTGCATTTTTACAAGTGTACGACCTGCAAGTTTTTCTGTTCGCATGTTTTCCTTACTTGATACGTTTATCCATTAGTTATCCCGGGTAACTGAAAATAATTTGATAGCATATCCTTACGTGTAAGATCCCGCCTGGTTGATCTGACCAGCTGATCCAACAACTCCTTCAACGGCTGTGTTGATGCCGTTGTCGGCTTCCACGGCGTACGAGAAGGTGCCGTCTTCGTTGGCTACGCGGTCATCACGAAGGAGGGCGACCACTCGGTCTTCGAACTGAGGAGTGGCAACAGCCACGGCGGCGAGGCAGGCAAGAACGATCTGCAAATGAAATATATTGTTTTACTTCACAAATACACAAATGTCAAGTATTTATATATAGCAAATGGTACATGTGTACGTATATATGTATACATAAGTGTTTCCATAAAATGCCTCTACTCACAAGCTTCATATTGTCAACTCGAGAGAGACCGGAAGGCTAGTGGTAGCATCATACGTCAAAGGCGACCTTTAAATACCTCTGCTCGGAAGAAATGGGCGGAGCCATATCCAACAAGCTGTGGGCGGAGCTTTTACCGACCGCAAGGTAGAGCATCTTATTACCTGCAGCTATGCCTAATGGTCACTGCTCGGAGAACAGAATCCCCAATGACACGAAAAGGGAGAATTTAATTTTTTTCTTTTTTTTTTCAAAAATAACCAAAACACTCTTCCTATAATCCTTATCATATTTTTCTCTAATATAATATGAATGGGCTAAAATTGCATTGGGAAATATTAGATGATCTGTACAGCAAGTAAACTACCTAAAAAAAATAATAAAAGATATATTCTGCTGTCCATAACCTAAGCTGCGGTTCTCGAATCTCCTGTAGAGCATCCAGACAATTAAATCAAAAGTCTTTGTTTTATATATATATATAATGAAATTGTGAATATCTCGTGAGTTAATTGTGTCGC